TTACAGAAGGGTCTCGGGGAGGAGACAAGCCAGTCAGGGTGCGATGTAGCAACGATGAAACATACAACTTTCCTCTAGTTCCTAAATGCTTCCTCCCTCCCCCAGCCCCCGCCCCCACTATCATGATCCCAATTCTACCTTACAAATCCGGCTAGACCAGAGTGTGTACACTGGTACAGATAAGAACTGGAACACCGGGAATCCAGTACATTTGATCCCTTCAGGACTATTGGTGAGAGTGCCGATCCTGGGAGGGTGGAGGGAAGGTGGGGTTAAAAAGGGGAAGCGATTACAAGGACCTATATATAACCTCCTCCCTGGTAGACAGACAGCAGAAAAGTGGGTGAAGGGAGACATTGGGCAGTGTAAGACATGACAGAATAATAATTTCTAAATTACCAAGGGTTCATGAGGAAGGGGCTACCGGGGAGGGAGGAGAAAAATGAGGAGCTGATACCAAGGGCTCATGTAGAAAGCAAATGTTTTGAGAATGATGATGGCAACAAATGTACAAATGTTCTTGACACAATGGATATATGTATTGATTGTGATGAGTTGTACGAGCCCCCAATAAAATGATTTTAAAAGAACAGTCAACACACCAACCTTGGGGCAGGGGGGGGGGCGGGAGTGTTATCATTCAGTATATTACTGATAGTGAAAATGTATTCGGTTACATATTTTTTTATTGCTTTTTAAGGTATGGGTGTTAATATCAATATTTCCTTAATTGAATCTTCGATTGGTTATAAACCAAGAATGACAATGTAAAATCTTATGAATGAGAAGTTAACTCACAGTGTATTTGTGAGTAGCCTAGGAGTTGGTTTGAGATTCATAGTTATAATTTACTATGGTCTCTTTCAACTAACTAATATGATCTCACTGTTGCCCTTACTTGTTTTGAGAAACTGTGGGTAGGAAAGTAAGGATGGTAGGAAGACGGGAAAAGAGGGCACCCTGGAGGTGTAGTGATTATGTGTTGCTAACTGCAAGGTCAGCAACTCTAAACCACCAGCCACCCTGAGGGAGAAAGATGAGGCTTTCTACCCATGCAGAGTTATAGTCTTGGGAACCCACATGGGCAGTTCTATCCAGTGTTCTGGGGTGGCTAGTAGTTGGGATAACTCCATGGCAGTGAGTTGCATTGAGGTGTAGGCCCCTTGGGCCAGTGATTCTACACCCACAGGTTGCTCTGTGCTAAGACCACACCCACAGCTGGAGGGTCCAGAAACACTTCCCCACCCCCCACCCACCCCCAACGTAGAGTCCTCAGGACTTCCTTTCTCCATTCTGAGCTCCAATCTCAAACTCACTAACTTCGAGTTGAATCCGCTATTCATAGCAACCCTATAGGGTAGAGTAGAATCGCCCATGTGGGGTTCTAAGATTGAATGTAAGTTTTTACAGGAGCAGAAAGCCTCATCTTTCTCCCACAGAAAGGCTGTTTTCGAACTACTGACCTTGCGGGTAGCTGCTCAAGAGCAGCCCAATGATCTAAGCAGGTCTACGTACAAGGAAGAGAAACCCTTCAAGGTACAGTAGCAAAAAAATCCCAGAGATCGCCAAGGGTGGCACACAGTTCTATAGAGGAGCGTCAGGTCTGCGCGGTCCCGTGGAAAGCTCCCACGCCCACCCGGAAGTGTCCACTGAAGGACGGACGGGGCCCATCTCGGAGCCAGAGATCCCAGCTCTAGGCCCGGGTGGTACGATGCGTGCGGGTCCCGCGTGCACCTCCCCGGGCACCGCTAGGGTGCGCTCTGGAGGTGTCCGAGGCTACGTCGGTGACCTGGCGCCCGGTAAGCCGACAAAACGAACCCCCAGATTTGATAGACGGAAACCAACCTGGCGTTTTCCACATCCCACACGGTCGTTCCAAGAGTTTCTTTTGCGGGGCTGCGCCGAAGAACGCGAGGTATCCGTCCACAGTCCCCCAAAGAATTCAAGTCTCGCCTTCCCTCGGCTGAGAAGGGGGCCAGTATCCCGGCATGTCTGACAGGTGGCGGGCTGGGGCCGCTCTGGCCGCCCTTGGCATCTCTATGGTGACAGCCAAGGGGGAGGGGCGAGGGGCGGGGCTGTGGTTCGCGCGGAGAGTGGGGTGGGCTCCGCGCCGCTGAGCGGGACGGAGGCGGGGCGGATTGGACGGCGCGGAGCTGCGTCACACGTGGGAAGCCGGAGGCGGGCACCGACAGAGCCGCAGTCTGGAAGGTCCGTCTTTCGGGTAGGGGTGGCGTGTTGAGAGGACTTGGGCGCTGGCGCCCTGAGTAGTTGGGGGTCGCGCGGCACGCGAGCAGGCGCTGTCCGACGGCCTGGGTAGCCCTCTGGCGTCGTCCCCCTACAGATCTATCCCGGGACCACCCAGCCCTCGCCGCGGCTCCGCGCCCGTGGAGTCGGGGTGCAGGGAGGGGGTGGGAGGAGGAGTGGTGCCGGAGTTTTGGTGGCGCAGCGTGGTCCTCCCTGCAGACTCTAGGACTTCTTCCTGCCCTTTTATTTTAATCGACCGTGTGAAAACTATTGCATCATACCAACCTTAGGCAAGAATGACTTTGGGAATTTGCGGAGACTTGCAATTCGTCGCAATTGTGAATCGTAGGTTTTCTACGCCCTGAGCATAGGAACGATGAGTATAAAAAAGTTGAAGTGAAAGTGAACAAGATGGATGACTCCTTTCTTGGTAAATTAGCTGGATCAGCTTTGGTATCTGCTTGGGTTATAGTACTAACGAAGTTATATACATTCATTATATAAAAGGACGCAGCGACTATCGCTCAAAGAGGACTCACTTGAAAAGTGTAAAAAAGGCATTTTTCGGACTTTTTTCACTTAGCTTTTATTTTTGTTAGTATTCGTGGTAATTATTTTTCCCCTTTGGGAACGAAGCAGAAGATATTTGCTCTAGAAATTTTTTAATTCTATTTAATTCTAATTTCTTATTTGTGGTGGCAGATAGCATGCCAAAGAAATTGCTAGTAGATAACACATGATAGCATGTAATTTAATTAGCTATTGTTTATGTGTGGGCTTCTGAAAGCAGAAATTACTACTATGTCTACCTGGATGACCTGTTTTTGGAGACAGTTATTTTACTATAATGAAGATGGGGTAATGGTAGAGTTTGGCCACTAAAGTGGCTCTTTCAAGTCCTAGAAAATTATGATCTTTCCGACTTGCTCTTATGGCAGAAAAATCATCCCCAGTAATATCTTTTATCCAAAGACTGAAAAATCGCGTACCTGTCTACCATGTAATATTTATTAAAAACCTTTAGCACATTAAGTTTAGGTATAAAGAACATTCCTAACTACTATTTAAAAACCAACAAACAAAACTTTCCCATTGAAGTAAATACATAAAATAAATCTAAAGCTATTTTATAGTTTAATAAGTTCGTGAGTCCATTCTATATTCTGGGGGAGGAGCAGGAAGTGAAAAAGCAGGAAAAGATAAGAAAAATGGGTGCACTTAGATGTCCTAGGAGCCCTGGTGGCTTAATGTTTCTGATCCCCAAGGTCAGCAGTTCAAAACCTCCAGTGTGCTCTGCAAGAGGAAGATGGGGCTCTACTCCTGTAAACAGTTACAGTCTTAGCAACTCTCGGGGGCAGTTCTATCCTGTCCTATAGGGCAGTATAGGACAGTTTGGGTTTGGGTTTTAGATATCCTAGTCAGAGACAGTGTGTAATAGGGAAAGCATATATTAAATTTCTCTCTGACACTCAAAATCTAAGCCAGACATGCTAAATACCTGCACCAGTAGTTGGAGTAGAGTAAATGTCAGAAACAGCATTATACTTTCCCTCAAAGAAACAGTATTACTGCATAGCAAATAACCCCAACACTTAGAGATTTAAAATAGCAATTATTACCTCATTATTTCTGTGGCAAGGATTTTGGAAGAAGCTTAGCAGGGCGCTTCTGGCTCAGGGTCCCATGAAGTACTTGTAATTCAAATGTCAGCCTGGGTTGCAGGGGGTGTGGGGGCCCTTCATTGTGGCTGAAGGATTGCCTTCCAAATTCACTCATCTATGATTTGTGCTCCAGCTGCTTTCTCCATTTATAGCACACATTTGGATTGGCCCTATTATGTCTATGCATACAAAAATTATGACAATCATTTTATAAATAATTTTTTAAATTTTTTAGTTCACTTTAAATTTGGATTATCAAGTGTAAAGGCGGAACTGAGGCGCCCACTGCTGCTGACCTCTGGGACGTGCAAGGAAGCATGTGCAGGGCCTGAACCTGCTTCAGCTTAGTCCAAATGGGGGCTGCCTAGTTCCGAACTGACCCAACCCAACATCAAGGAAATACCTGAAGTGATTTTTTGATTTTTCCCTTGTGGGATATAAAAAGGCTGTTCCCCAGCTCATCTCCCCCAAATATATGTCAAAACTAGGACACTGCTTGCAACTAATGGTAACTAATTGTCAAGTTATCTCCCTGAAGGCATTCAGCCATCCAGAGCAGTCAGACTCACTGGGTGAGGCTCACACCCTATTGATAAGACAGTGATTGATTCCCTGGAGATCTTAGGTCAAACCAGCTCAGTGATATCCAAGGTTAGGCTGCCATCCTGAATCTAGGATCCGCCCATCTTGTCACATGTGTATCCCCAATCCCTCCCCTTCCTTTTGTGTGCATACCCCCCTAGATCATCCCCCTCCCATTACTGTATTACCTATAGTACAACCCCTTCCTGTGACGTATGATTTTACCTGTAATCAGGGGCCTTGTACACCCCCAAAAGATATATTAGCCTTGTTTAGAAATAAATCGCTCTCTCCTCTCTCCTGCCCTCTCTGCCCGCGCTGTGCACGGACCTGGCTATTGAGATCATGGCCGTCCAGGAGGTGAGCATGCTACCATGAAATGTGTCTTACTCCTTCATTTTATTCTCTCTCCTATTTCTATTATTCTCTATGACTTTACTATAATCTTTATATATCATAATCATACAATTGCACCTATTGGACCCCTGATAGTGTGAGGGGCTGGTTTCCCCCACATTCACTCTTCTGCTCATGACACTTTATCAGCTACCAGAGCCTTTTACAGTGTGACCGTCATGTGCATGTAAGGTGAGGTAATCTGCTTTAGTAAAGATTTAAAGTCTCAGAGACTCAAAGGGGCAATTCTCTGCCCTATAGGGTCACTATTATTTGGGATCGGCAGGGGTTGGGTTTTACCTGCCTCAGAACTGACTAGATCTCTGACCCAGCCTACTTTCTCATCACACTTATCTACCCACGAATTGGCCTTCTTATTCCCTGGAGCTAATTACAGGCCACAGCTAATTGAACTAAAAACCTAAACTTAAATTGCCAACGAATGGATGCTGACTCATAGCAACCCTGTTGGACAGAGTAGAACTGCTCCTGTGAGTTTCTGAGACTGTAACTCTTCATGGGAGTAGAAAGCTCCACCTTTCTCCCTAGAAATTGCTGGTGGTTTCGAACTGCTGATCTTGGAGGAGGAGAATATTGCTCCTGCTGAGCCTGTCAAGCTTTCTGTGTCCCAGTTCCCATCCAGCTACATAGATGAGAACTTTTATCTAAAGAATCTTTTATAAACTTTAATAGTGTGTGCACAAAATCTGTAAACTGGGGGCCATGGTGGCACAGTGGCTAAGCACTGCAATGGTGATTCAAACTCCCCAGCCACTTTGCAAGAGAAAGAAGGGGTAGTCTGCTTCCATAAAGATTTAAAGCCTTGGAAACCCTTTGGGGAAGTTCTATTTAGTACTTTAGGGTTGATATGAATTGAAACAGACTAAATTAAAATAGAATAAACGGTGGTGGTGTGGTTTTTTTGGAGGAAGGCTTAAACTTTTAAACATATTAACTTCTTTATCGATTCCAGTGTTACGACTTTATTTTCTCAATTAGAAATCCATGACTTCTCAATCCATTCCAGTGTTACGTCTTTATTTTCTCAATTAGAAACTGTGGGGTAAGCCCCCACAACTAATCACAGGTTTGGTGAGCACAATTGTACGGTTAAAATATATAAAGATTATAATAAAGTTATAGAGAAATAGGAGAGAGAGTAAAATGAAGAAGTCAGATAAATTTCAGGGTAGCACGCTCACCTTCTGGACAGCCATGATCTCACCAGCCAGGTCTGTGCATAGAGCCGGTAGAGAGAGCAGGGAGGAGCGATTTATTATTAACCAGGCTAGTCCCCCTCTCATTACTGTATTACCTATAGTACAACCCCTTCCTGTGACATATGTCTTTACCTGTAATCAGAGGGCTTGCACACCCCCAAAAGATATATGTCTTGGTTAATAATAAATCTCTTCTGTTTTCTGAGCTGATCTGCTCAACCAGTATATCTTGAAACTCCGTTTCCTGAACTTCATCTTCCGTGTTAGCTCTCTTAGTTTGCATTTCTTTGGAGTTAATCCCTTCATTTCCACCTTGGGCACTGGTTTGCTTGATTCTTTACAATCTCTAGTTTTTTCTACACTAAATTTTGGTGGCTGGCAGATGCTTCTAGTCTGATGTCTCCATCTGATTCAGGCTTAGTTTTCTCAGCTCTGTCTAAAATCTTTCATCTGCCTGGTACTCATTCTGCCTGCCTTTCAACAGATTTAAGTTTGGGTTTCTCAGAGGCTTCTCACTACTCTGCTGGTTTTGTTTCTTTGCTTTCTCTACCTTTGAAAGCAAGGGAGCTTCTTGACATTCTTTAATAGCCTCATTTTAGATCTTGGAATTCACTTCTAGTGCTTTATCACCTTTAGACCTTAGGAGGCTGCAGTCCCCTGAGGGCATAGAGGCTTTGGCCATGAGGTTTCCTTTAGAATTGGAGGCCTTAGATAACAAATCAGTCCTTGCTTCTTCAGTTATTTCTAAAGTTTCATCACCTAATTCATACAAATTTAAAGAGATTTTAGTTTGCTTTTCTAGATTTGGATAGACACAAGACTTCTCACTAGACTGATAATCCTCTTTTTCTTCCTCCTGTAAAGGTTCTAAAACCATCTTAACTTGAGCCCACAGAGACCAGGTCTCCACGGGTATATTCTCCCCATCTCTGTATGCTTTCTTTAAGTTTACAATGACTTCCTCGCAGGTCTCTAGATCGAAAGTTCCTTCCTCTGGCAACCATGGATTATACCTTTTTACTACTTTTAGAAAACATTGCATCTTTTTCTTCCTTACTTTTACACCCTGTCTTTTTCAGTAAGTAGATGAACGTAGTCCCATAAGTTTCAGGTTTACTTTTACCTTGCCCCGTTGTCTTCTTTAAAATATTATGCTACTACTCTTATTCCTGCTTATCTGCTAATCCCCACATGGGATCCTTACTTTAATTTCCTGATTCACTCTACATTCTGGTGGAGCCGTACAATTGTTACACGGGTAGAACTCAAATGAGTTCTTTTCCTACTGCCATGTGATGGGCGCCATTTGTGGAGAAAGCCAACCCCTCCCCCACTAATCATGGGTTCAGTAAGCACAATTGTACGGTTAAAATATATAAAGATTATGATAAAGTCATAGAGAATAATAGGAGATAGGAGAGAGAGTACAATGAAAGAGTCAGACACATTTCAAGGTAGCATGCTCACCTCCTGGATGGCCATGATCTCACCAGCCAGGTCCATGCACAGAGCAGGCAGTGAGGGTAGGGGGGGGAGCGATTTATTACTAACCAAGTCTTATATATCTGTTG